CATGCTAACTCAGGCATATCTCAAATTGAAGAAGATATTAAATTTAAAAAGGATCATTAAATTGCCATGTGATTGACTATGCCTTGACTTTATCTGCAACATTCATATTTTTCCTTGATCTATATGTCCTTACTATTCGTAAGTTACATTACCCTTCACAGCCTTATTGCATAGCACCAGCGGGTGATTTTATCCTTTTAAAGTTAAAGGCTTAGGTTGTATAAATTCTAATGGTCCAATCTTTTAATTTTCCTAGGAGATGATGAAATTAAAATAAAATAAATATTATGTTTAAACTACAATCATACTTTTAAGATTATCGGGGAGATAATTGAAGCCTCATATTTTTGCATGATTTTTGTTTCTTTATGTAAAGGATTACATACTACATGGTCTCGCCCTTGTATTTACATCTCGAGTCTAAAGATTCCATAGAGATTATTTGTTTTCATGACTCTTGGGGAAAAAAAAAATCATGAGCTATCATCAACATATTCACAAGATTTTATATTGCATCCTTGGAATCTAAGGAATGTTTTGGCTTCTAGAACTGGGGATGACAAGGAAACATTCTTACCTTGCGCCTTCAGAAATGAATACTGTCCAGTTTGAAATTTTGACATTTGCCCAGTTAATTCTCAAGCCTGTAGTAAAATAAATGTGTAATACTTTAAGCTGTTAAATTTCTGCTAATCCAGTAGTGATAGAAAACTCTTTACACTTAGCCAAGCATAATTTATCCCACGTCTTTAAAATTACCATCTCTCAGTTTAACACTAAAACTATATTGATTTCTACCATGTCCCAAAATTGTGCTAGATGTTGCGGACAAAAAGGAACAAATCACATTCCATAGTTTGTTTCTAGTTTTTGTCATTGGTGTTTCAGAAGTTCTAGATGGATATCAACTTTAGACTATTTTCTGAAATTAGATTTGGTTTCCTAAGGTTACAATATTTTCGAGTCCCTTAAAAAATTGTACATGCAAGTAGTAGAAGAAATGGAAATTATAATAAAATGAACTAGATTTTTAAAGTGTAAATGCACATACCTTTGTTCCTCTTTTTAGAATAACTACATGCTTCTTAAATTAACTTACATAATTGTTGACTGATTGTGGCATCAACACCTGTAATATTTCTGTAGATTCTTAATCTGTTTCTGTTGATTGCTTTGTTTCTTGGCAGTGTGTTGTTTTCCAGCTTTTTCATGTACATTGTACTTTTTGTTGAAGTTTGTCATTTATGATAAATAGTTTTTATGCTTATAAAATGAGAACACCTGTATTTCTAATTAATTTTTAGTGCTGGAATCTAGTTTTTCCAGTTTTATGTTAGGAACACTATCCTAGCTCCATAACATTAGACTTTTAATACCAATCAGATATATTTTGTTTGGGGACTTTACTCTGAACTTTTAATCTTTGTGATCATCCTGAAATGTACATGCTTGTTTATAAAGGATATGATTTTCAGTTGGTACTGCACAGTCAGTAGAAAAAGATGCGCATGTGCCTCACAAGCGAGACATGCAAACATTAGTGATTGAGGTGATTTTGGAAACAATGAAGAGGTGAATCAAAGAGGACCCAGGTGAAGAACTGTTTTACTCTTAATTGCAAAGTTCAATGCTAAGTAGGGAAAAGATCTATAACACCCTTTGTCTTCCAGAGCCAGGTGGATAACAAAGGCAAGCGGTGGCTTGTGCATCCTTTTGCAGCAGGAACAAAGGAAAAACAACCCCTAGCCACTAGCCACAGATCTTACAGGTTCTTATTAGGAGGAAGGGGCCCCAGCCCTGAAGCAGTTTTAACAAACTATGATTAGGGCTCATTTTTGCATAGCTGTCTCTCAGAGACACCTGGCCAAAGCAAAGTTGCTACCCACATCCTGGTTTCGGCCTTGCTGTTCAATGTTATTAGAGCTAAAATTATGAACACGTTTTGGAGGCCCGTGGGAGCCTAAAACTCATCTGTAGAGTATCTAGTCAGACCAAGCTGCTGGCAGATCCACTCTTGCCAAGGCAAGAGTCCCTAACAGCCTTAATATCAGGTAGAGACCATTGTATTCCTGATTATGCTGGATCAAACTTGGTACCAGGGCAGTTGTCCTCCCGATAGACACGACCTGAATTAGTGCTAGGGGCAGGTATTTTAGTTGTCCCATGACAAAAAAAATTTCCCCTGGCTTTTGGAACATTGATTGGAGTCTTTTCCCACTTACACAATATTTGTATTTTTGCCTTTATTTTAATATGATCTTATTCTTACCGCCTTAGTGCAATTCGTCTTGCACTGTTTTCTGTTGGGTTTCCCAGCTGTGGAGCAAAGGAGGGGTGTGGATGTATAATGATAATAACTAATACAAGGTGTTATAGGGAATGCAGGGGTGGGGATGGGTTGTAAGGAGGGCAGGGAGATTTCAGGAGTGAACTGTGAGGGCAGAAGGGGAAGAGGGGGCCCTAGAACTGATAGAGATTGAACAGTTAAGTTTAAAGGATGTGACCATGGGTGGTGAGGGGTCCTTTAAGATAGATGTGGTGGTGATGGTACAACTCACATTGATGTCATTGAATGACTGAAGTATTTAATTGTATGATATGTGAATTATGTGCCAATAAAACTTGGTTTTAAAAAAGTTTCACTGAATACTAGGTTCAGGCTACATCTTGTGTTTTCTCTTGGAAAAGAATCTATAAACCTTGCAAAGCAAGCGTGCATGCAGGGCAGAGCTAAGGAGAGAGCTATAGACAAGAGAATTGCAAAATCATCTGCGCAGACACAATAAGTAATTTCTCCCACACTGTGTTTATCATAGCTTTGTAATAGCTTTGGAAATCAGATAAGCTGGTCTTATTTTCTTCCTTCAGTTGTTAATGTGATGACTCATTGATTTATTAGATATTGAACCAGCTTTGCATTATTTTAATCAGACCAACTTGATAATGATTTATTATGCTTTTTATACCTTATTCAATTCTATTTGCTAATATTTTAAAGGGACATCTGTTTGTGACCAGGATCATAAGCGATACTGATCTGTAATTTTATTATCTTGAATTAACATTGGGTAATTAATAGAGTATTACTGACTCTGTACACTTAGTTGAGAGATCTTTATTCTGTTAGAGATTGTGTTGAATTAATATTACTCCTTTTTTACATGTTTTGTAGAATGTATCAGCTTAACATTGGCCTAGTGTTTATAGATTATTGTTTCAACTAAACTGTAATTGTATTGATAGACATAGGCCTGTAAATTAGTTGATTCCAAGCATTCATTTTCTAATTCGTAATTTTCATACAGGCTTATATTTCTGGCAGTTTAAAAAAAATCATTTAAACAGTTATGCAATACAGGGAGGGATTTTTCACTTATTTTGAATCTTCTGTGAAAATATTAATGACTAATGTAAAGTTACTAAGTAATTGAGTACACATAAGAGTGAAGTTCCTGTATTTTGCCTGAAAATAAGATAACAGAGCAAATTACTATGAGAATGTTTTATTTGTTCTTTTAATTGTTGACTATTTAGTACTCTTTCTGCCTTTTCTAGAATACCTATAGTCCTCTCTGTTCCTTCCTTCTTCCTCTTTTTAATCATCTTTTTCATTAGGTGTTCTAGCCCTGTCCTGGTACCCACCTGCTTCAAGTGATGAGAATGGAGAACCTACTGATGACTTAGTACCGACTATTTTGGATAAAGCTCATAAATATAATCTGAAGGTATTTAATTTTATTTTTAAGCTATATCAAGCAAATTCTTTTGGAGAAGAAAATAGTAATAAAAATTGGTATTTTAATTTAAAGTTTACTATGAAATAGGGACTTCGGTTTGAATATAAAGACTTGGGATTTTTCTTTTAATAATATTATATTTCATAAAGGAAGTTAAAAAAATTAATATGAACACCAAATATGAAACCTTGTGTAGGTTACTCTTATCAAATTTAGCATTCATATATTTATTAGAAATAAGCAAGGGTTTATATGCCTAAATGACTTCTAAATATGTATAAAATTGAAATATTTAAAAAATCATCTTATTGGGGACTCGTACAACTCTTATCACAATCCATCCATCCATCCATTGTGTCAAGCATATTTGTACATTTGTTGCCATCATCATTCTCAAAACATTTTCTTTCTGCTTGAGCCCTGAAAATGAAATCTAAAATAAAAAGGAAATCTACTTATGGTTGCAGAAAGTTTTTTAAAATTATATATCAGCATATTCAAAGATAAAAGAAATGGACAGTTTTGTGGGAAAATACATGAAAAATTAAACTTTTTAGTGTATGAGGTTGAAAATACGAATTCACTATCTTAGGGGAAAAATTAAAGAGCCATAATATATTTATCTTCCCAACGAACCTGTTTTGGATAACTGACAGGTTCTCAGCAACCCTCCACCAACAGTTGCTTCTCATGATACTGCTATATAATAGAAAGTACACTAATTATCTATGGCTATGTGGCAGGTTACTCCCAAACTTGGCAGCTGAAAACACAGCACTTGATATCACACAATTTCTCGGAAGTAGGCATCTAAGAATGGCTTAGCTGGGTGGGTCTGTCTGGGATCTTTCATCTGGTTGCTGTGATCCTGTCACTTTGCACAACTGTCAGCTGAAAGTTGAAGGATCCACTTTCAATCCCATATGGCTTTTGACAGGGCTCACCTCCTTGCATCTTTTAGAATTGGGATTTCAGTTCTTCACCCTGGGGGGCTTCTTCACCAAGGATGCCTAGTCTCCCCAATACATACGGCATTTGCCTTTGAGTGATCCAAAAGAGAGTCCAGTATAGAAGCTGCAGTCTTTTTTTTAAACCTATCTTTAAAGTGACGTTCTACCTGGTTCTATTTATTTATTACTGATAAACTAATAGAAGAAGGAACTACTACCATGTGTATTCCAAGAAGTAGGAATAATTGTGGTCATCTTGGGAACTTTCAGTTACCACAGAGAGCTTTTAAATGTATTCTATAGTAGCACAATCCTGATTGTAAAAGTAACCAATGATCGCACAATGAAGAGTGTAGCTGGTGTCACTAGTGAATACAGATACACATTCCTAAAGGAAACTTAGAAAAGAAATAGTCATTAGCATGGATCTAAATGGTCCCAAGAGTATCAAATCTGAATCCGAATAACCTATATTCCAATTATTGCTCAACTACTTACTAAATAACTCTTATACCTCAGCTTCCTTATCTGTAATATGGAAACAATAATAAAAACAACCACTCAGAACCTTTATCAGTGAACCTTTATTATTTACATGTTAGGTAATGTAAATAAAGCTACCGCATATACTTGTGTATAAGCCTAGTTTTTCAGCACATTTTTAATTCAGTTTTTGTGGTAAAATTAGGTGCCTCGGCAGATATTCGGGTCGGCTTATACTCGAGTATTTATGGTACATTGAGTATTTAAAAGAAAGAAAAACATGGTTACCCTATTGAATAGAGAAAAATTGAGACTCAAACAACAAAGATTTATTACTAATAAAACTCTTGATAACTAAAGACTAATATAGTTCTATAATTTCCTACCTTAAAGGTATGTTATAGAAATCTATATTGAATACCATACTTAATGGATTGTGTTGTGATGTCTATTAAATCAATATCAAAACAAGAGTGCTTCTAGTATCAGTATTTTTTAGGACTGGAGATTCTATGCAGAGCAGTGTGACTAAAAAAGAATGAAAAACCTAAATAAAATTTAAGATTTTTTTGTAAATGATAACTATCAAGAAAACCCATAAAATTATATAAAAACTATTAGAAAAATTAGTCGGTAAGGTAACTGGGATTAAAAAACAACAACTTATAGATATTAACAGGATTCCTATATTTTAGAAGAAAAAAATTTGATAGAATAGTGTGAATAAAGTATAATGAAGTTAAAATAACAATATAGGAATAAACTTATGATATTAATATACGATCTGAAAGATTTCTAAAGGGAAACGATTTTGATAGGAAAATTCAATGTTGCAAAAATGACCATTTTCTTAATCGATGTTTATTTTATTTATTTATTTTTATATTCATTGTTATCTCAGTTAAAAATCCTAATGAAAGTTTTAAGATAGACTTACACAAACTAATCACAACATTTATAAATATGGTTAAAATAAAGTAGCATTTGCTTTTTAAATGTTTATTCATGAAGGAAAACTTGCTTTCTTGGATGCCAAAATTTACAGTAAAATGACAGAATTTAAGATTGCAGTGTGAGACTTATGAGGTCAGTGACATAATCAAGTCCAGAAACAAGGCACTGTATATGAAAATATAAAATATAAATCAAGAATAATTTTAAATCAGGTACTGAAGTAATATTTATTCATGATCTTGTTTAGGAGACTGGATACTTCGGTTTATGATTAACTTCTCTGCTGTTTCATGACTTTGAGCAATCATACTTTCTATTAATACTTACTTATTTTCAGATTGCTCATATTTATTCAAGTTTCCTTTGTGTTTCAAGGCAATGCTTGCAAATCTTAATTGATTCAGAGTGCCTTTTAACTAGGGGACCATTGCCCAGAGTTCTCACATCCTGTTAAGGCTCAGTCTTTTTGCTCTGCAGCGTCTTGCTGTTTTATGTCTTTGTGGACAGCAATTTGGTTTGGCTAGTACTGATAGTTGAACTCCATAAGAAATACTGTGAGTCACTACTGAAACATTTAAATTACAAATGAAAATCTGAAAAAAATTACTTTTGTTTTCATTTTATTTTATGACTTAAGGGCACAGTAGTTACTGGGGAATAGAAATGGAGTTGGGGGCGAGGGGAATAACTAAATAAGCAAATATGTTTCAGTTCCTTTCCATAGAGTGTCATTTTTGCTTTACAATCCTGAAGCTAAGACAGCCTCTCTCAAATTTGCTGACTAGGACAAATTGGCTTCAGTTATGCCCCGTAGTGAGATTCAGTGCATTCCCACTGGCATTGAAAATCCAAGAATAGGCAGGCCTGCAAGGTACTGGCACCTGATCTAAGGCTAGATAAGCAATGTGATTTATCTTCCACAGCCTGCCCAAAGGCAACTCTTCTGTCCAGGCCCTGCTATAATTCTGGAACGGAGGAGGAAGAGACTTTCAAAAGTCAAAAAAAAGTGGTTATGTCATTACTTTCAGGAAGGTCTTTAAACGTAAAACGAAGAAGTGCTAAAGTTTTAACCAAGGTTTACCTTTTCTTTGTTTAAGCTTGTGTATGAAAGGAGCGCATGGGGTGAGCAGCAGTGGTTGAAGAGCAAAGATTCCGACCACCAATTGTCTGTGGAGTGGTTTTAAACACACTGGCTCTCACTGCGTTTTAGATTTTATGTTAAGCTCAAAATATTTGGAACATGCTCCACTATTGTTTTCTAAAAATTATAGATAAAGGTGGTGGTTACTGTTAGGTGCCTTGAGTCTGTTGAAAACTGTCATGACTTCTGTGTACAACAGAATGAAACACCACCTGGTCCTGCACCATCCTCACAGTTGCTCTTCCATGAGCCCATTGTTGCAGCTCCTGGGTCAACTCTTCTTGCCTAGAGTTTTCCTCTTTTTTGCTGTCTCTCAACTTTGCCAACCATGCTGTCCTTCTCTAGGGACATATTTACCCAGTGCAATGTGTCTTTTGTTCTCATGGATCAAGAGGCAGAACAAGGGAATTCTGCATGGATTAAAATAGGAAAGATATTAGGGTTGTATCTCCTCACCAAACTTATTCAATCTGTATGCTGAGCAAATAATCAGAGATGATGGACTATATCAAGAAGCATGTAGCAACAGAATTGGAGGAAGGCTTATTAACAACTTACAATATGCAGGTGACACAACCTTGCTTGCTGAAAGAATAGAGGACTTGAAGCACTTGCTGGTAATGATCAGTGATTGCAGCCTTTAGCATGGATTACAGCTCAATGTAAAGAAGACCAAAACCCTCACAACGGGGCCCATAGGTAACATAAATGGAGAAATGATTGAAGTTCTCAAGGATTTTGTCGTTCTTGGCTCCTCAATCAGTACTCATGGAAGCAGTCGTCAAGAGATCAAAAGATGTTTTGCATTGGGTAAATCTGCTGCTGAGAGGATTGAGAATCACGGATGCCACTTTGAGGACGAAGGGACGCCTGATCTAAGGCTCTAAGGCATGATGTTTCCAATCGCCTCGTAGGCATGTGAAAGTTGGACACTGAATAAGGAAGACCAAAGAAGAATCGATTCATTTGAATTGTGCTGGGGAAGAATGTTGACAGTACAATGGTCTGCTAAAGAGACAAGCAAATCTCTCGGAAGAAACATGGCCAGAATACTCCTTAGAGGCAAGGACGACAAGACTTCATCTCACATACTTGATACATGTTGTCAGGAGAGACTAGTCCCTGAGACGGACATCGTGCTTGTTAAAGTGGAGGGGCAGTGAAAATGAGGGAGGCTCTCAGGAGATGGAATCAACCCATTTCTGCCACAGTGGGCTCAGGTGTACTAGCAGTCGTGAGGATGGCGCAAGACCTTGAATCTTTTGTTCTGTTGTGCTTAGCGTCCCTGTAGGTCGGAACTGACTCGATGGCACCTAACAACCACGTCAGCACGTGCAGGTAGGGACTTTCTAATAGACTGGGAACCATGTGACCAGAGAGCTAGTTTACTGAATAAGTCTGGAATCTTAGATTAGCCGTTCATCTTGGCTTTTCCCTCAAATATAAGATGTGTAGTCTCA